TATATATATATATATATATTTAGTTATGGGTAATACTAGTGATCTGAGAATAATTTTTTTTTTTTAGAAGTCTTAAAATAATTGCAACAAATATGTCATCATCATCATAGTTGGCCAGACAGCCCAATGCCTTCCTCTGAAGATTTCTCCATAACTGATTTATCTTTCATCTCTAATTCTTTTCATTCATTGCAAGAAAATCAGACTCCACCTAGTCAGCTCATCTCAACCGCGGCCTTCCCCGCTTTCTTATTCCAGAGGGTTTAAAAAGCAGCATCTTTTTTATTGTATTGTCATCACTCATTCAAATCATGTGAGCCATCTAATTCATTCTATTTATTTCTATGTATTTAATAATATCGTTTTTTTTTATAAATCTTGCACAGTTCAAAGTTAAATCTCCTTCTCCAGTTATTGTTTTTATTTACACTCTGCCAACAATTATGACAGTAACATTATAATTCTTATTCAAGTAAAACACGTAGCTCATTGCATGAATTTGATAAATTAAAGAATTATTGTTAAAAAATTTAAAATAATTCAAATAATTGGAAAGAATTTTTGCAAACTTTAAACTAAAGTAATTTACTACTGCATGCATGGAAAATAAAGGAAACAGAAACAGTTGATATTACTATTGTGGGGTAATATGTAGAAACAAATTTGATATAAATAAGAACTATACCCAGGTAATCATTATATATAAAACTTTTTTATAGTACTGTAGCAATTAAAAAAAAACAAACAGAATCAATCAGTTAAATTCCTTCATAATGAGTTCAATTGAAATTTGTATTTAAGCTCAAGGCTTTCAAATAATTTTAAACTAAGATTTCAATAATCCCCAAACGAAAAAATAGTTTGTTACTGAACATATTTGTATAAAATTAATTTCGTGGATTGATTGTTGATGATTTCGTGAATTATATTGTTGACTAGATTCGCTCATTATTGAAATCAGATAAAAAAGAGAAGGTTCAATGGTAGTGACACTCTACTAAACTCCACCCAACAAGATTTGTTGTTGCATTTGCAAAAAATAAAGAAGCCTTGAATTCTTCACCATGAAAATTTGGCAATGTAAAACAGTTAATTGAGTTCTTAAAAAAAAAAAAAAATGGCCAAGTTCCCATAAAAGTTTTAAACAAATCCTGTGAGTAAAGGCATTTGTCTGATCTATGCATATAATCAGTGAACGGCCCCCAAGTTTGAACTAGAAAATATTGCAATTTTTGCTATCATTATTAATTAAGATATATTAGATCAAAAATCCAAACCTTTGATTTTTCAAATCATTTAATTTAAAATTCGAGCTGATATTCGTAAAAAAAGGGGAAGTTCTGTAACACTCAGGGAGATATTTCCGTATCTTGATCTGTCGCTCCAACTACAATCTCCAAGGTGCCAAATAGATTTTAAACTTGCAAATTATTTAAAAAAAAAAACATGTAGAAGTTTGGCTGGGGTGGTTACGAGTTATACCGTTCCAATTGGTCCTTTTCTGTGATTTTTTTTAAGTTTCTCGCGAGCTGCTGCCCGGAAGTTGCCAAGACTTGGCGATTATTCTACCACAGATTACGATACGGAAATCTCCCCGATTTTTGTAAACACATATTACATACGAATATACTTTTAAAAGGAAAATATTACATTTTCTATTAATTTGTAAAATAATAACCTAGAGCATATTCATCATATTGTTTTTCTTTCTTGAATCTAAGTTTACGAGTAATAATGATAAAACTAATATACATTATAGGTCTAATTTATAAGTCGAAGGATTGCGAAAGATATTATTAATACAAATAGATACATACTATGATTTTTGAAAGAGATAACATTATCAGATAATAAGATTGAAAAGTTGAAGATATATAGAGTAAAACAATTTATTTCAAATTGTTAACACATTAATTTAGGTTAATAAACATTGATAGAAGGACATTGAGCAGAATGAGGGACATTGATTTGTTTTCATTTAAAGAAAAACGTTTCATGCTGCCTTTTTCTTTGCTCAATCGAAATAGAGCTGTTCATTCAAGTCCTGCTTATTTTAACCGATTAATTCCTACTTAAAATCGAAACTTGGAAATTTTTACTTCTACTTTCACTTCATATTTTTGTTTATGTGATTGTAATTATTTTTTAATATAAAAATTATACAATACATCAATTTAACATTTCTAAAAGCCGCAATGGGTAAATCCTAACCTTTTTTAATTAGAACTTATAGCCATTAATTAATCAAATAATGCTCTCCCTACTCTTTTTTCTGTTTTGTAGTATATATTTGAAAGTAAATTTTTTTAAGTGCTCTTGTTTAAATAGGATTTTTTTTTTATAATTAAAATTAAAATCCCTTTTTTATTATTATACGAGTTGAATTTTTATTAGTTAAAGTTCATTTTGTGATATCGTACTTTATGATATGTTTGTGTCCAGAATTTCTATAAATTAAAAAAATAAATGTTTCTTATTTCTTTATGTTAGAGGAAATGTCTGATACACTTTATGAACTCAATCTTGGGATTAAAGAAAATAAATCCTCTCCAGAAATCCAGAAAGTTTTAATGAAAATAAATAAACAGATTTCTGCTGAAGGTATATATTAATATCTTTCTTTGATGCTTTTAAAAATCAATTTATAATCAGATGATTTACATTCCTGTATATTGTTGATATGTATTCCTTCCTGTTAAACTATATTGCTATTTATATCGTAAAAGCTTTTTAATCGTTCTTATTTTATAATTTTTTCTGTCTGTTGATTGTAGACCATTACTGGATTATATAAATTTATAAGAATTATGAATAAAAAATATGTTGTCCTTGTATTCTTATATTAAGAATTTATGATCTGTTATGAAAATTGTGTTTTTTTGTGAAGAATTTTTTTTTCTTTTTGTGGAGATATTTCCATATTGGTACCTGTTTGTGCAACTGCCAGTTTTTAATATACCAACAGGTGGTGCTATGGAATTAACTTTATGATAAAATACACTAGTTTTTTTATGCATTTAATTTATTGAAACAGAATTCTGATTAAAAAATTTAGAATTTTTATATTATTCTTTCAAAAATATGAGAACCTCTTATTTTGTTTAAAAAAACTACACAGAAAGGATTTATGTAAAATTCAGCATGCTCGATTTTTAATTTATTTGCATTTTTATTTTTGAAGTATTATAGAGTCATTAAAAAAATAATAAAATTTAAAGTTGTATATTTTTCTTTGTATTATCTTTTTAAAATATCTGATTTGTAAAACCTTGAAGTTACATTTCATGGCTCATAGTTAAGCATGTTTTTTAAAAATTTTTTTTACTATGCTTTACCGTATTTTTCGTCGCAAGCGCCGCACATCGATAAAAATAAAATTAAAAAAGTTATAGTAAGCGTTGCAATGCCGCTAAACCGCGCATATCAGCATCCTTTTAGAAGAGACCTTTAAATTACCATTTAGAATATCTGTATAATAAAAAATTTAATTTTTTTATGCATTTCATAAAGTAAAGTTTTAATTTCTAAACTATAATAAAAAATTTCTATTTCAGCAAAAAAAAAAACAACTAAAAAAGTTTTCTCTTTCAGCAAAAAAAAAGAAAAGAAAACAGCAAAATTATATAAAATAAAGTTGTTCTTACCAGTTGGCACCGCGCTAAAAAACAGAAGAACAGCAGAAAAATATTTTTATGTTCAGTAGCTGAAATAACGCTGAACTGATTACAGAAATCCGTAAAACAATGTATTAAGAAAAATAAAATAAAAATTTATTAAAAGAAAGATTTTAAAATAAAAACATTTTAAAACTTATTACCGTTAACAATTTGAGGAAAAACTAATGCATAATAACAAAACAGCTAATAATAACAAAATAACTAATAATAACAAGAATAAGAAATAACAAAACAGGCCCCAAAAAAATTCTGAAGGAATGAGCGAAGGGGAAATAAGTTTCACTTTCACAATTTTTTGGGGTGGAATTTTAGTGGGTAGAATGCCCTCTCCTTCAAAATGTTTAAGAAAATGTAGAAAGAGAAGAAAATGTTTAAAAGAGGGATGTACCCCACCTCCTCCACGTGTCATTTCTACTGGAGCTGTTTAGGAGGAATCAATCAGTTATATTTTAAAGGGGTTGGGGAAAAGAAAAGGGTATGGGACCCCTAATCCAGCATTCCAAAATTCGGCACTTAATCTGATCTAATTTTTTTTTTCTTTTTTTTAAAGAAATTTATATTGATAAGACAAAAAAAAAAAAATCAACTATATTTTTTCGATTTGGAATTTTATTCTGTTGAATTAACTTACTTTATTTTATCTTTTAAAAATAAAAAAGAAGCTTGAAAAAAAAATAAATAAATCTGTGTCAAAGGAAACATCTGTTTCTTAAGCAGCTTAAAATAAATTGAAAAGTAAAAACACCTGCATTTCCAATGAACAGAATAAAGAAATGCAAATTGGAAAAAACTGATCAATCAATCTTGACAGCTGGGCTTGTGCTTTACTGATTTGTCCCCACATTTCCCTCCTCTGTTTGACCATAAATTGTCCACACCCAGTTGACATTGAAACTACCATGTGGACAACAATATGAATTCTATCCCTTTTGCGGTTTTTTATTCGATTCATAAATTTTTTTATTTTGCCGCTTTTTATTAGTTATGAACTGATAATTTTTTTTGTTGTTAATAGTTAGCTTGTTTTTTTTTCGTGTTAATAGTTGTTTGCTTGTTTTTTTTTATCGTTATTGGTTTTTATCTTGTTTTTTGTTGTTACTCATTGTTAGTTTCTTAGCATTAATTGTTAATTTTATTATTATTTTTTTTTGTAGTTCCTTGTTTGCTCTTTTTTTCTTGCGAGGTAAGCGTCTTTTGTTAAAACAATATGTTATCTAAAAGAAAAAACGAGAACTATGATCTTGCTCCAAAGAAGAAACAATTATTTCTTCTTCATAGGATTCAGATTATTTCTTCTTGATTATATTATATACATTATTATTTTGATTAGTAAAATTTCTTAAGATGGGCCAGTTTTAAATTCACCCCCGAAACTTAACTAAATTTATTGGTTTTTCTGAAATTAACAATGGAATTGAATTATAGTAACATTTGGGGGCCATATTGGAATTTCCGAAAGAGATCCGAAGTTCGGCATTTCGTCAGTTCCGTGAGTGTTGGATTTAGGGTCCTATTACTTCCTTTTCTGTTCGCTCAAATTACAATTGCCGATGTTCTGCAGCAGATCGCGATACGGGCGAATATTTCGTCGACTTCGTTATAAATTTTTTTTAATAGTCTTTCTCTCAGAAAATTATTTCATCTTAAATAACTTTCCTTGAAAAATTTTTTTGCTACTAAAAAATATTTCGTCGGAAGCGTCGCATGTAGGAAATTTTTTTTTTCTTTCCGATAGTGCCTCGGCGCTTCCGCCGAAAAATACGGTACTTTTCATTTAATAAGTGTTATAATAATAATAAAATGTTAAATAGCATCGAAACATCAAAATAAAAGTTTGAATTCATTAAAATTGATTTTGAAATTTTAAAAAAGCAATTTCATGGAATCCTAGAAGACCTTTACAGAACCTTAGTGTTCCGCATAACCCTGCTCCGTATCCCTGCTCTAAAGTAGGACCAATATTTTTTTTCCCCTCTGTTATTTCATAAAAAATAAATCAATGTTAAACAAAAGAGAAAAAAAGAATAAAATTTTCTACAATTATGTTCCTATGCTTAAATTTCTTTAATAGTGTTTAATTATTTTAGAATGATTTTAATGAAATATTGTCTGCCATATTATGATTTTAAACTTAAAAAATTTATTATTGTTTGATTTTCCAATTGTCATGTTAACTAAATTTTTTCTTTTAAAGGCTGTGACAAAAAATCTTTAATGGAATACTTAATCAAGAATGGGATTGTGGATACATTTTGCTTAATTTTGAAGTCAAGAGAACGTTTTTCTGCTTCTACATTTGCTTTAGTGGCTGAAATTCTGGCTGAAGTAGCTAAGCTTGGTAAGGATGGTTTAGTATACAATAAACAATGGGTCAGTTTCAAGATGCAGTGCTTTTAGAGCTTAATCAAGCTAATTCTGAGCTGTTAAATGCTTAATCTATTTTCATCTTTAGAGGATATTTTCTTTCCTTGTTTTTTTCTTCTTCTTTGTTTTAAATAAATGATTTTGTGTAGCATTCGAATGCCTTGTAAACAAACTTTTCATTTAATTACAAAATATTTCACAACACTGTGTAAACAATAGTTTTTTGATAATTTTTCATCATGATAATTATGAATTGAAAATTATTTGTGAAAATTATGAATTGAATCTATGTAAAACTCAACTGTTAAGCGATTAACTTTAAACTTTGCAGTTGCAGAAATTTGGAGAGGGATCTAAAAGCTCTGTATCATTAAAAATGCCTATTATTCATTTTGCATTGCTTTATATTTAAAAAATGTTAGAAATATATTACCTTTCTTGAAATTTCAAATATTTGTAAAACTTTTTAATGTTTTTGCAAAACTGTTTAATGCTTTTGTAAAACTAATTGCTCGCTTGTAGGGTAATGATATGGTTTATCTCAAATTTGAGCCAGCATGATATTATTATTTCAATTACTGTTGTTTTTTAATAGAATACTCAAATAATAATTTACTTTTACAAATCAGTTTGCTACAGTAACAGTTTACTATAATTAAATAGTTTACTAACTTATAGTATTAACAAAACATTGAATAAAAATTTAAGCACATTTTTATATGAATTTGCAAATACTATCTTTTATTATAAGATTTGTTTAAAATTTTGCTAGTCAACGTGTACAGTTAAAATAATGAATACAAAATTGTAAAAAAATATTAAAAATTAACATTTACAGAATTATTAAATAATTTCTTAGGCAAGAAACATTTAACAAATTTTCATAGCAACCAAAAATTAAATAGAAATTTAAAAAACTATATTGTAGAGGAAGTTGGAATAGTAACAGAACAAAATGATTATTTTTAAATTTTCTTTTAGTAGAATCATGCTAAATTTTTGAAACCAAATCAGTACTAATACTATAAAAAAATCCTGGGATTCTGGTTAATGTTACAATTTGTTTATAATGAAGAAACAAAAACAGTTGTGCAGTAAGTGGGAACATAGATGTTGAGCCCATTATATAATTAAAAAAAAATATGGGATACGTCTTAACCAATTTTGCCACATATACCTAGTAAAAATGCAACACATTTAAATGTCTATTTTATCATTTTATCCTTTAATGTGTCTATTTTTATAATTTTAGTAAAAACGCATTATTTTTTTGCAGATTCTGGTCGTCAAATTTGCAGTGATAGTGCTGTTATTGTTCCATTATTAGAGTTGTTGTTAAACAATGATTCTAATGTTGTTTTACAAGTCTGTAGAGCACTAGGAAACATTTGCTATGATAATGGTAACATTTTCAATTTGCATTATTTTATATAAAATTGTTAATACATTTTGTTTTAATTTGCATTATTTTATATAAAATTGTTAATACATTTTGTTATAAGTTTGTAATTAATTGTCATCGAAATACTTTTAATACACCCTTGCTGGTTGAGCTCGCCAATCCCTGGTACTGCTTTCTCATTTCTTTTAGAAAACATATATTTATTGTTATACGGGTCATTTATATACATTTTGTTGCTTACTACCAAAATTCCTCTAGTGCCTATTACCATAATTAATTAAACATCACTGACATCAATAACAGTTAGGTTATTTTTTCACAACCTCCCATAAAATAGTATCTACAATTTTCTTGTGTAAGAACCCAAAAAAAAAGTTAAGCAAATAAATAAAAATCAGCATTAAAAATATGGCTCAGTCTAAATTCTCCCCCTCCCTTCAAATCAGAAAACTGGGTCATTTTTCTCCTATTTACTTCTAGATAAGTGGGTGTTTCAGTTCATAAAAATCAGTGACATTTTTCCATTTCAGGACCGTTTGTTAGTAGAAACTGGAGTGAGGTTTTCTAGTTGCATGACCATTTAAATTTGTGAATTTTAAGAAATTATATGAAATTTTTTGATGAATTAAGAGATCCTTAGAAATGCGTGACGTATAGTTTTATTTATGGTAAATGAAAACACATGTTTAAATTAATGCTTAAATTAGATGTTGATATTGTTTTTAGTAGATATTGTTATTTACTTGACTTCCGTCAACCGATCAACTAACGTGACTTATAGTTTTATTTATGGTAAATGAAAACACATGTTTAAATTAATGCTTAAATTAGATGTTGATATTGTTTTTAGTAGATATTGTTATTTACTTGACTTCCATCAACCGATCAACTAACCATCAACCGATAAATGCTCACTGCCTTCGTATTTCAGTTGTCATTTATTTGTTGTCAGTGTGAAAGAGAAAATTATTATTTTTTTTAACTATATACATAATAAAGAGTTTTACATGATATATATAATAATAGCATATTTGTTGTAATTAAAATAGTAACCATTTAATATGTATGTAATAATTTCATAGATATTTTCTATTTTAGATGCTGCTCGAAGTTTAGTAAAGGAACACAATGGTGTTGATAGACTCATACAACTGCTGAGAAATCTCTTGGAGAAAGACAATCTACCTGAAAATTTAAGGACAATTACATCGGGTTGTCTCCTGAATTTAACAGATACCTATGGTAGTTCAATATATTTATCATTATTTCAAAAAATTTCTATAATGTTAATCATGTTATTTAATTTTTTAACTTTGTTACAGATATTCCTCTTTATTGTGAGTAGTCAAATAACATCTTTTTTTTTTATTGTCTCCTGTAAAATTTTTTTAAAATTATAATTTAATTTTAAAAATTGCATTTTTGCAACTAGAGTTATTTTAGAAACTTTTCCGATAGCAGAATTTTTAGAGTCAATCTGTTGCTCCAAAAATTCAAATTTGTTTATGACTCCAATGCAGTTAGACAGAGTTTATTATTCTAAAAAATTAAGCTTAACCTAACACGAATGTTTAGTAAATTTACCACTATTGAATGTAATAAAGTTATATACAAAAACTTTGTGTTGTTTAAATTTAAGTTAATTTTACACAATTTTGTTTTAACTTCACACAAAAGGAGAAAAAAGCAGATGCTTATATTATGTTCAATAAAATAATCAGAAAAACTGGAAGAGATGATAATATCACAATAAAATCTTTTCATTTTACTGGAAGAAATTAACTAAATTGTAGTTTATGGTGTTATGATTTGTACATATATAAAGTTTCTTCAAATGAAATTCATTATAATTATTAAGTATTCTAATTTAATATAGCATTATAATTTAACAAGAAAAATCGTTATATGTATTTTAGAGGAAATACAAGATCAAGCAGTAGAAGCAGGAATTTTAGATGTTTTGCTTCAATACCTTTTGAAGTTTAGCTCAGATGAAGATGTTGTTACTCATTGTTTATTGGTTCTCAGTTGCCTGGCTGATAGTAGTTAGTATTTTTTCCTTTTTTTTCTTCTATTGGTTAATAGAAGCATTTTTAGCATGTAATTTGTGTGTAACTGTGTAATAGATAAGTCAAATATGTATCATTTGAACTTGTTTAGTTAGATGTTTTAGATAATTGGTCTTTTGGTATTTGTAATATAATTTTACATTTCCTTGTCTCCATTTTTTTTATGAATTTACTTAAAATATCTTAAACACTTCCAGATAATGGCCGTGCAAAAATACTTGAAAAGTCTGTCCTTTCTTCTCTGCTTAATCTACTAGAGAAACCTTTAAATGATGACATTTTAGATTCTCTTCTTGAACTTTTTGGAAATCTTTGTGAAAATGGTAATATGATACATTTTTGTTATTATATTTAAAGCTTTTTATTTTAATTATTTTAAATTAATTTTAAATTTCTGAATTTAACTCTATTGTTTGGAGTATGGCTCAATTTATATTTGTCAATCCCTAATATTCTGACATCAAACTTTAAATGTATCCCTCTTTAAAAGTCGTGGCTGGTATACTTACCAATTTTGAAATGTCCTCGGTAAATTATTTTAATATTTTAAATTTTGCTATCATTTGTTATTAATTTCAGTATTAATAAAGTACATTTGAATCAAGCTAGTAACCATATGCCTGGAGTGCATATAGGCGTTGTAATTTGTGTTATACAAATTACAACGCCTATGTTGTAATATCAAAAGAGGACACGCCATGTGAGCATAACTTGTGATAGCAAATTGTGTGTGCTTTTTTGTGTTCAAAAGATTCAAGAAAATAATTTTGTAATTTTAGATGAATAAAAGTTTTAATTTACAATTCCTATTGTAGTTTATTATAATACAAATTTAATAAATCGAAAGAAATAAAAATAATTTAGTACTTACCACCAGAATATTGCATTAAAATCCAAACTTATTTAATCTAATTAGCTAAATTAATTTCTTTTCTTAAGTTGATTTCAATCCTTAAAATATTTTAACGAACAATTGTTAAAAAGAAATGGTCTATTAAAGGGTTAAAAAAGGTTAAGTTTATGTTTATAAAACTTAGCTAATTTTTTAAGTCCGAGATTAAAAGGTTAAACTATTGTTTAAAAAAATGACATCTAAATTAGAAGAGGAGCCAGCAAATGAAGATTTTCCACATAATACTGGACTTAAAACAAATTCTTTAGAAGTATTGAAGGGTTTTTTTTAAAAAAAATTATGACTAGAAAATTACTTTCTTTGTCTTTCAAGAGACATAGTCAGTAACTAATAACATATAGTAAATGATTTGTATTGTGTGTTATGTTTTGAATATTTATAACTTTTATGAGACAATTAAAGGTATTTTAGTTGATTATGGTTTAATTACAGTTAAATTAATTTCTGAGGAATTATTATTGGATAAACTCTTAAAATTATGGCTCTTCAAACCCTAACTCATTTTAATGACTTGGGCTAAATGATTATAAACCACAGTATTTCCAAAGGTGACATTTTTACACCAATTGCCCCTTAGTGTTATTTTCAGATAAGTACTTGACAAGTTTCTGGTTTATTCAATTGATAATCCCTGGAAAAATCTTATTACCCGTATGGAAATCTTAAATTATTCTCTGTTTTCACAAAAAATGCTCCCATAACAATTGGAAAATGTAGCTTCCAAGCCCTTTCAATATATATATTGAAGGGCTTGAAAGCTACATTATTCAAAGTCCTTCAATTTAATTTATATCTAACTTATTACAAAGTATTTAATTTTTGAAATGCTAGCTTTATCTTTTAAAATTTTATTTGTTTGTTATATATTAAGCAAAACAGTCAACTGTGGATAATAAAGTTGTAATATAGCCAATAGTTTAATAATTATTGTAATCATGAGTGTATATTATTCATTTTCATTGCTTGGCACTTTAATTCAACCCAAATTTTATGGCCCTTCAGTTTTTAACCCCCCCCCCTGCTTCAAGCTGAGATCAGTTAGCAGAGTAGTTTTGTTTTTGAAAGACTGGAAAGCATCATCAGCACTACATGAATAACGCCATTCCCCTCGACCAAAGATGAAATCCCCCAATGGTCTACAGCCAAAAAGCGAAGACCTTTAATAACGCAGTTGCAAAAGATGGAGCGACAGAAGTTTTCCCCTTTGATTCATTCAAAGAGTTTTTCGTTTGGCATGTCTTGGAAGAACAAACTCTTGCCACAGGGAGGCATTTTTTAAAATTTGTTGAGTTCTAAAAGAAGCATTTCCATTTCGATGTGGCCACTTGATATCAAAATAGCTTTAATATACTTTGTACAGGAACAAAAGTTAAAGTCATCAAGAGGAAGCCAAAACTAGTTGCCATTCCAACTAATAAGCTAGTAATTTTAATATGAATAAAATATTCATAATCTCATAATAGAATGGCAATTCATGGAAGTGTGGTTGTCATCTCTGCTGGCTTCTGACATAGCGTAGAGAGCCTACCAATACCATCTTGTTTCTCCTTCAGACATATTTTGCTCTTCACCTTTTAATTTAAAAGGGCATCTAGTGCCATAAGGCATGCATTAGAACATACCATACTCAGATCTAATGCAGCTAACATTTTCCTTTCCTTTTTTTTTATTTATAAAGATTTCTTTTTCTTAATTATAGATTCTGCAAAACTCAGCTTGGCAGAAATGGGCTTATGTGAAAAACTAGTGCAGCTGGTCAGGAAGCATTTAAGTTCTGGAAATGTTGTCAATGGTACATTCAATGTGTGTAAAACTGTTCCGGATTTAGTCATATTGATTCTAACTGGTGGTGTGTATTTATTTATTATGCTATCTTTAATAATTTTCAAAGTAAATCAAGTTAGTATAATATGAGATTTCATTAAAAAACTCTCCCCTCGCCTGAAAACGTTTATATAATCAGGGAAATTAACTTGTATTTTCAAATCATGTGAATGAAAAGAAGAAAAGAAACTGATTTCCAATCATGTTCGAAATTAAAAATTTTGGAAATTCTTAATTTTAATTCTTTGTCTAGCCTATAAACAAGCATCTTTTTTTTTAATTTTTCTTTCCTTTTTTTTTTTTGTTTTTTTGTTTTGTTTTATAAGAAAACAAATCTTTTAAACTTTTTCTATTTTTTAAGAATTACAGTGTATCTTAAGAAATTTTTTCATAGCTATAGTTTACAGATTATAATTCTTTAGTACAGCATTGGAAATTAGGAACCCCCACTTTACATTCAGTTGTTATTCAACTTTAGTTTTCATTTCAGCTTTCATTTGGTGTTATTCTTAGGATTTATGTCAACTTAATATGCAATAAAATGACAGTAAAAGTAAATATAATAGTTTTTCATTATTCTTATGAATGATTTGGAACTAATATAATTTTGCATTATTTATTACTATTACTTTCATTTCAATTCTTTTTACTACCTTTTCATACTAGTACAATAAATTAAGAAGCTACTCTACCTTTAAAAGAGATTCAATACTAAGAGATATCTTTAGTAGTAGTCCGAATTGGATACACTAGACAATAAATAAAGGAAAACAATGTACCTATTTCTTTTCCATTGGGAAGAGATAGGTGTGTATTTTCTTGTTTATTAAAATTACACTATTTTATTTATTTATTTTTTAAAATAATATTTTAGATGCAAGCATGGAACATTTGTGGAACGATGGGCAAGGAGTTGTGTATAAAGAAACTTTATCATGGCTAAAAAGTAATGATGAAAATCTTCTTATTGCGGGTGCTTTAGCAACAGGAAACTTTGCTAGAAAAGGTATACTAAGTTTTTTGTTTCCCTTTTAGTTTCATATATGCAGTAAAATTTGTCAATTTTATTTATTACATGTTACACCATTTCCATTTAAAATTAACACCTTATTATTAAAATATATTATTTAGAGAATTGCATTAATGTTAATTTTTTTTTGTCTCTATTTTTCTTTTAACAAGGCAAGTAAGTAATTTCAAGAAATATTTTCAACCAAATCTATTCTTATAATATTCTGCATTAGAATTAAATTTCTTTTTAAAAAAAGTTTCTTTTTATTTTTTGAAGCTGGAAATTCCAAATGTTTTCCTTTAATTATAAATTTTTTATTGCTTTCATTTTTTAATATGTTATGACAAATAAATTATGTTTATAATTGTTTTATTTATTTGCAGGTAACGCCAAGTGTTATTATTTTGAATTCTAAATTTTATCTTAATTAAAAAAAAAAGATTTTTCTGTCTTATTATAAAGGCTTATTAGAAAGTGATTAGAAGGCTGATTAGAAATTAAATTGATGTTTCCAAAATTTTTCTTCCATTATGAATATTTCAATAATTTTCATTTTATAATGTCTTTTGACAAATAAATTATGCTTACAATTTTTTTAAAAAATTATTTCTTAGGTAATGGTGTGCGATATTATTTTAAATGCTAAATTTTATCTTTATTTAAAAAATGTTCCTCTTGCTTTTTCACAAATGTGTAAAATTCCTAAGCTGTTTAATTTATTATTAAATATGATTTTGGCAGGGTCACATGCTATTCTTTTATTATTCTTATCCACCTTAAATTTTAAATATTTGTTTATAGCATGATTGGTTTTCCTAATAGTTTTTTTAAAAAAAAAAAATCTTATTTTGTATGAAATTGATTTTCAATTACATTAATTAGACTTGATATTTTTAGAAAATTTATAAACTGCTACAAATCTTACTTTTAATTCTAACAAACCCTTTTTTTAATTTTTTTTTATTTATTTATGTTTTTTTGTGCAGTATCTATGTTCAAGTTTGAAACAAATTCTTATTAAACATTTGTGTTAAAACAGTATTAATGATATATAACAAATCTAGTTATTTATCGATCATTTTTAAAATAAATCATCATAAATTAAAATTTGTAATAATTTTTTTAAAAAAGTATTTTTGTTAGGAATTAATTTTGTTGTATATTGTGCTTAAATTATTCATTATTCTCAAGTTTTCCACTTTATCCTTTCAGATAGTCATTGCATTCAAATGTTAGCTGATGGTGTTGTAGAAGAACTGCGATCACTTTTGGCGAAACATTCTGGTAGGGATGGGGACATTAGAATGCAGCATGCTGTCCTTTCAGCATTGAGGAATTTAGCTATTCCTGGTAAAAATTAAACTTTTTTGCTACGTCTTTCCAAACTCTCTATTCCTCTTAATAATTTAACATTATTTTTAACTTTAAGTTTATCATATATCAGTTATTAATTGATTTGCTAGTTTTCTTATTTTTAACTGCTGGCTAAAATTGACTGTGTGATTATTTTAATGGACTAGATATATTTAAACAATGAATGATTATACCAAACTGTAAATAATTAACCTATAAAATTTAAAAGTGTTAGTTTTTCAAAAAATTTTAAAAAGTTTTTACTTAAAATTATATTAATGAAATGATTAGTTATTTTGATAATGAATATTTAAATAACTTAACTTTATTTCTAACTTTAATTTTCTAATTTATCAGCTATTGAAGGAATTTTTAACGCTCTCCTGTATTTGACCACTATGAACAATTGACTGTGTAATATTTTTAGCGTTAATCTCTATATTGTAATCTTTATTATTTGTTAATTGCCATAATCTCTTTGAAATTTTGTTCAAAATTTGTAGTTTTAATATTTTATTTATTTTTGTTGAAATTGTTTAGCTCAAAATAAAGCAGCTATGGTCAATCTGGGTGTTGTGTCTAACCTGATTGAAATGATGAGTGTTGAGACATTTCCTGTAGTTTTCAAACTCCTTGGTACTTTGAGAATGTTACTTGACAAGCAAGGTAAGCATGTTCTTTCAATCGTTTTCGAATTTTCAATGCTATTTTCCTGTTAAAGCGTTTCATAATGCACACTGAACAGCCAACCCGATTTTCAGTTAAGACTGTCAATCTTCAACTTCGTAGCTTGTAATTTTGATCCCGACCCAGAAGACAATATTACTCCTAGATCAAGCATTGAGACAAACTAGCCATTGTGGAAGATTTTTGATAGAACTAACCCACATTTGCATTACACACACAGAAAAACTACGAAACCACCCGAGGTTAACTTGATGACAAAGGGATTTTAACCCATTATCCGTGTGGTTGGTGCAAGTTGGTGCGGTGGTGTTCAGTGTGGTTGGTGCAAGTCGGGAACAGAATTCATATCAATCAGCCATCGCTGAGATATGAACCTAGATCACTTCATTGTGAGGCAAGCACTCAATCCCCTGAGCCATCAAGATTCCCTGTTAAAGCATTTTTTAATTATATGATCCTGTTAATTCCTTGTTTGAGTTTATACATTATTTGACTGTTATTCAGTTGACCCTTGAAATAAGGACTTGTGCGGTCCAAAATAAACATTATAATGTGAGGTTGGTATATCATGAATACACAAAACTATGGCAAATATTTACTCTAAACTCATAAATATTGGAATTATGTTGTCAAAAATATTATTATTCTATCCACTTCTTTCAAAAATTTTAATTTCTGTTCTAAACATGTGATGTTAACTGGTTAAGTGCAACCTTTTTTGCTAAATAATGTACATCCAAAGAACTACCAAGCGAAAATTAAATCTAGAACAATGTGAATTTCACATATTTTAATTTCGAAATAAACCACTCATCACAGCACTTAAAGAAAAGGAGTGAATACCATCTTCAAATAATAAATATATAATCAATGTATTTATTGAAAACTTTGTTAAGAAATTTTCAAATGTTATGAATGCATACAGCAAACTCCAATCTCGTCATGAGGATCATCATTATTTGCTGTGATAAAAATTAATCAATATTTCTTAATCTTTTTAATCAAAGAGTTTATGCCACTTAGCATAAGAATGGGTGATCCTGTCATGAACCATAGAGAATTCTAGTTATTTTCCTTTTATTGAATGGTAACATGAGAAATACTGGCTTGAATAATTTTCGGGAAGCTTTTGCTATTTAGTGATTCATTTTCAATGGAAAATGTTTGTTTGAAATCAGAAAAGTACTTAACATCTGTTTTTGGTGTGATTTTCTTGGAATTTAAAAAAAATTCTTTTAAATTTTCAGTGGTTATATTAGAATGAACTTTTTATTTCGGACATTCTAATGGACTGTAAAATTACTTTAGGTGTATGGAATAGCAAATGGGACTTTTACTGGTCGTTATGATGGATGGGTTGTAGTAATAGAGGATTGTATTAAGGAGTGTCGACAGTCTATACACATGTTTTTTGCACAATTTTTATATTTTCTTTTTTATATTATTTATTATTCAGCGTTGTAAAATTTTTAGAAATAATTTTGAATATTCTTTTATTTAATCGCATTTAAAAATTTACAAAAAAAACCCCCTCTTAGATAGCATGTTATAATATTGAAATCAAAATAGGAGCATGGAAATTAAAATTAAATTAGCATAAATTGATTGTATTAGAAAAATTGCAAAGCAAGTAATCCAAATTTATGAGTATGGAGGTCTCTAATATCTCTATCTTTTGGTTAGAATGCTACTTGTCCCTTAAAAGCATGTTATTTACAAAATATTTGTTAGAGATTCATTTTTGTTGTTAAAAGTTTTTTTTGAAAATATTTGAGTCTAGATTACAAGTATTGAAGTTTTGATTTGAGATTGCTAATACTTTTATTTAGATAAACTGCAGATAGACTCGTGCTTGTCAATTAAGAAACATGTAATTTACAAAATATTAGTGAAGAATCATTTATTATTCTTTTTTTTAACTTTTTGTTTTGTGTAAATTACCTTCTATGTAGTTTAAACAATTTTAGAAAGAAAACAAATCAAATTTTAGAAATCTGAAAATTGTTTCTTTGTTTATTATATGATTGTTACTTTGAGACAGATTATTGTATGATGAGTAAATTATAACTAATATTAAATGCTATTAATATGTATTTATGTAGAAAATGTTGCAAAATCTGTTGGTGAAAATTATGGTTTTGTAAAGAGGCTTGTGGGATGGAGTAATGTGGAAGATCACCCTGGTGTCAAGGGTAAATTTTATTCATATTCAATTTTATAATTATTTATGATCTTCTTAATACGGTTTTAAGGCTTAATATAGTCCAAAGTTCTAATTTAAATTTTTCTTGCATTTAACATAATGTACAAAAGATCATTAAAATATTTATTATTGAAAATTATTAGTTAGAAGGTATTATAGTGTTTGAAAAAATATTGATTCATTTAAAATGTATGCATTAAACTACTCTAATTTTCCATCTTAAAGTATTATGTGCTGTAATTAGTTAATTTGCTAATGCATGCAGTATTATGTTTTGGAATTTCAAGTGCTTCTAAAGATTTAAGAACTTTGACATAATGAAAAATAGAAATGCAAAAAGGAAAAAAAAAAGTAATATATATATGATTAATTTTATATATATAATTGAGTAGGATCAGTCTGGAAAATAGTTAAAACTGTAGAAATGACAAGCCGATATATGGAACTTTTCTTTGACTAGTTCTAAATCCTAATAATGTAGTCTCTCATGGACTTAGTAGATATTCTGACCCTGCATTTCTAAGTGATTCTGACTTGTGTTTGAGTTTTATATCTGATCTAAAAGTTTGTACGTTGAGCTTAGAATAATTTTTGATGAGCTTAGAATAATTTTCAAATTTACAATTTATACTAACTAATTAGCATTTATTCATTGATTTTTTTGTTGACATTTCAAAATATTATGACTTGGACTAAATTTCCTATAAATTAAGTTTTGAATAATTTTTATGTAGTTAATATAAGTACCGCTAATTTTGCCCACAGGTGAATCAACAAGACTTCTAGCTTGGTTGGCAAAAAATTCTAAATCACCTGTGGTTATGAAGAATCTTGTCAAAACCAATGCTTTACCCCCAGTGATATCAATGATGAAATCAGAGCATGTTGTTATGCAGAATGAAGCATTAGTTGCAATTACTTTAGTTGCTACAAGTTGTTTAAGTAAGACCATATTTTACATTTATACATTTACATTTATGATAGGCTATTCCATATAAAATAATGTGTTAAAATGTTAATTTCCCATAAATTCATGCATATTATAATATAAATTTTTTTAATATTTATTAGGTAAAATTTTTAATTTAACTCCTAATTCACCTTCTCGCTCCCGTGATATTGACGGGCTGGAGTGATGAGTAGTAACGCAACAATAAGAATAAAACTAATTCATTTCTTTTTCCCGGAAAAAATTTTATTTCTCATTTTACACAAGATGGCAGTACCAAGATATTTTTAAGGTAATTGTAGATAATTAGTTTATTTTAAACTAGATGTGTGCACTAATCAAATGCGTAATACAAATACAAAAGAGAAAAAATAGGCGTTTCTATGACCGTTTTCTTGAAAATTAACCGATCGTTAAGGAGTTAAAACTGGTATTATGTATAAAAAAAGTTCGGCCTCAATAGGTTCTAACTAGATGAGTTAAAATAAGTGCTTTATTCAAGCAGTAAAAGACATGAATTCAATATCAAATAAATAATAATTTTATAAACTATATTTTAAAAGCTAAATAAAAGAAGGTTCTAAGTGATTTTTTTTTTTGAAAATTGAGATATTTAAGAATTTTTTTTTAAGTATATAACAATAATTTATTTTGCTAATACCTAAACTATGTGTTATTCCAAAAATTGTCTAAAACAAAAGTTTGTGAATATTAGTAATAGGGAGAAATAGAGTATTACCAATATTTTGCTTTTTTCTAATCATATTACCAAAGTATTTCATTGTTACATTGCATTAGAGGGAATCAGAACCGTGTTAAAGTAACATATAAATTCAAAGTATTTGTCTGTAACTGATGTTTTACTGTATAATAAAAATGGGAGCTAAATCAAAAGTAATTGGTTGAAGTTTTGACTGTTTTAATATTTATGTTTGTTACATTAGGTGATGTGGAAGAAATTGCTGGTTCAACAGATTTAATCAATACTTTATATCAAGTCATGGGAAGCGATATAATTGTACCAGAACTCACTCAAAATGCTTTATCCCTTCTTGTGGTTCTTTCAAGCTCTGGTAATTTTCTTTTCTTATGTATAATTATGACTGAATATTTGCAATTAGACATGTACAGTAGAGAACCAATTATCCGGGATGCTCGGAACCATCGCTATCCCGGATATCTGAATTTCCCGGTTTTCTGGATCGACCAAAAAGTGTCGTTAATCGATGTTTTATCGAACCCGAAGTACAAGGAAAAAGTGTAATGCATAAAGTAAGAGAAAAAAGAAAGGTACTCCTAACTTTAAAAAGAAAAAAAAAATGGTAGAAATATAACATTTAAAAGAATAAAAAAATTTGCAAGTTTAGACAAGAAAATCAAGTTTAAAAAATACAAAATTCTCATATTTATTTTTTAAAAATAATTACCATTCCTAAATTAAATAATATAAACAAAACCAATGATTAAATAACGCAATATATTTCATACCTAATTATACGGGGGAAACGATAAAATAAAAGGAAAACTTATTAATCTAAATGAAAACACTTGAAAATTATCAAAACCGAAACGATAATTAAAAAAGGCACTAGCATAAATATTAAAACCCGAAACAAGGCAAGATCAACGGAATTCAAAAAAAAAAAAAAAAAAAAAAACCTAATGATAAAATTTATGAATAAAAAGAATTAATTTATTGAGTGCGAAATTTATCGCGAAAAGAAAAAAAATCAAACGTAGTGGAATCAGAAAAACAAAACTGCAATCTGCTTCATAAAATAATCCTATGTTTAAATTAATAAACAATTCTCCTTTTATTTTATTTTTTTGTTGATAAAAACAAGATTGTTAATTACAGCAGATGTGATTCCACACCAAGAAAAACTTGTAATTGATACCGCACTTCCAAAGAATAAGAATTTATTCAAAAGAAAAAGATTTTCCTTTTATTAGTCGATGTCAAATAAATATATTTTTCTCTTTTCTTTTTCTGTTCACTGATATGCATGCAATGCATTTTCTCCACCCCCCTCGTAAATCAAGCAGAAAACGAAATCAGCATGCCACACCCTTGAGTTTGATTGACGGCCTAAAGGAAAAAATAAAACATTCCTCCCTTCCCTGCCTTCAAGGTCACGGAGGAAATGACGTTTCTCTGGGTAAACGGGGGAAAAAATCTTCCCCTTCCTTACATTTTCCTCTACTCAACTTCAAGGATGAGTCCAATTTCCGCTTTTTTTCGTTCTAGTTTAAAATGGCGGGAAATTCGAGCAAAATTTTTCCCGGTTTTCTGGTTTCCCGGTTATCTGGATACCGGATAAATGGTTCTCTACTGTATATATGTTTAAAAGTGAACTAATTTTTTATATTTAGACTAAATAATTTTTTGAAATAAAAGTTTTAACTCTCTGATGGAAACATTTTTATAGAGCTTTTAGTGTTTACGATAGAAGTGTTTTGCACTTAACCCTGTAGTGGTTACCCCACTAGTGGTAAAGTGGATATAGTTCTAAAATTAGTATATATTTCTCCAAAAAGCATTTGTAGATATTGTTTTAGAAATAGAAATGTATCATGATTATATTTAAAAAATATATGCTGAAAAATTATTTTTTTCTTCATATTATTATATGAAAAAGTTAATGTTTGTGGCTATCAAAATGAGGTTTCACTTTAAATACATTTGACTGAACTCTACACAATTTCATCAAAAACCAAGAAATCTGTAATAGTTTTTGATATATTTGAATTCTAAATGAGAATGTAAAAATTAATATCTATAGTGGTAATTTAAAGTGTTTTTACTATTTATAGCAGACATGTATTTTTATTCAATTTAGTTATTTTAAGAAAATTGTTTTGTTTCCCATGAAAAAACTGCCATATGAAGGCGGAAACTTGCATGAAAAGTTTAACTTGCATCTTTAAAGATGCTCACTACATTGTACCATTATGTTGCTTTACTAATTTTTTGAATGTATATTATGTCTGTTGCACTGTTATCCCCCCTATCATTTTTATCTTTAAAAATAAATAAATAAAAGAAATATTATTTTCTGTGTTAAAATTACTATGTAGGACTATAATCAAACAAATAAATTATGTTTTAGCTATTTCATTCTGAAATATAGAGCATTAGGTACTTTCTAAAGCTAACACAGAAGTAAAAATATCCCTATCATACACCACTTAGCTAGGTCTAATTCTATATCCTCTTTACTCCACCTCAGAAAACGATTCATACTAAAAAGAATTTTTAAATTTATTCCTTAAATTTCTATGTAGATCTGTTATTTAGCTGCCCCTTTCGCAGTTGAATTAATAGTTTTTGCCAGTTTTTGATAATATTAGAAGAAATTCAATCAACAGCTTAATTTAACATGCTGTATAAGTTGATCAGAAACAGATTATTTGTAAATTTTAAATTTTTCATAAGTTTTAAAACTAAAATGAAAAATGCTTGCTTCAATCCCAGTAAATATCGCTAAAAGTATTAAATAAATTATCTCAATTTAAAAGGAGAAAATAGATGGTTTTTTTTAACGTACCCACTTCCCCCCCCTGCCCCCCCTTTTTTTTACCAAGAGCTGACAAATATAATAAAGGAAACTAAATTATAATTAATGAAACTAAAAATTGTGTTATATCATTCAAGCTGACTGTAATAGTTAAATAATAAAGAGATCATGCAGTAACTACCAATATATAGAAGAATACTTTTTTACTCTCTAAAACAAATTAACAGAAAAGCATAATTTTAATAATAAACTCAATTTATTCAAATAAAGTATTTAAGCCAATTATAACTATTTAACAGTAATGTTACAAATTAATGTATTTTTATTTTATTTAAATCAAGATTTAAAAAAAATGTATAATAAGCAATACAGTGCAACCTTGTATTTTTGTAGACCAAATACAATTTGGAAAAGTTTGTTTTTCTTTGTGCAATAACTGATTTTTTCCTCTTAATTTCTATAATATGCTTTCTTTATTCAGTTATACATGAGACCTAATAAATAAAAAAAATATATCATAAATTAATACTTCCATTATTCTAGCAAGATTTGAATACAATCACTTGCATAATTGATACTGTACTGTGTTTCACGAAATTTTTTACCACTTTTAAATTGCGAAAGTTCTAAATAATATTCTCTAAACCTTAGCAAAATTTTGCGTTTAAGAATAAATTTTATATCATAGTTAGCAAACCCATTCTTGATGCCTCGTGAATGTTTTGACGCCAAGATTCGAAATACTATTTGCTTTTTGTCTTTATTTATCTCTTGCATGTCATTGGAAAATAAGAATTGCATCTATTTTTAGCAAGTTTTAATTTACCATTCTTTATTTCAGCTAAATTGCGACCTGTGATTAATGCTACCCCTATACGCTCAGATCTGAAAGCTTTAAAAAATCACAATGATGAGAAGATCAAAGAATTAGCTGGAAAAGCTCTTCAGTTGCTTGAAAAGTCAAAAGCTACTTGAATGATTTAGGTCTCATTGTGTTGTTTTTAATGTTTGCTCACATTCTTTTTATGATATTTTTATGAGACATCTATTTTCAAAACCAGATATATCACTTTTGTTAAATTTTTCAGAGGATAGTAAAGATATTATAAACTCATTTAGTTGCAATAGTATTATGCTGAATCTTTTTTCATTGGAAGATTTTTTAAAATTTGTTTTTCCACTTAGTGCCACTGATTTTAACCAAATTCTAAGTTGTTATATATTTTTTTTTCGTGAGTAGTTAGTATGATTTTAAAAAAGCTAAATTTTTTCCCTCTGTTTGGTTTTTAACTATGCTATAGAATCCATCAGGTTTTGCTATAAAAAAAGGTGTATTTCTATTCAAGAAATATCCCTCTTTTGCTTTATATATTTTATTAATCATCATAATTAAAACTTTAAAAGAGTGTAGTAAGGGCAAAAAACTTTATTAGAACAATTAACTTTTAAGTGATATACAGCAGCCAGTGCATATTTTTTTAAACTGATTTCTTTACTTATTTTCATTTTGAGCTAGCTACTGTATCCAGACCACAAAATGTAACTGTTACTGATACCTATTATGGAAACTGAAAGTATGTAGCATAATCGGTTAATTAAAAAAAATCTCTCTATCTGGTTTTTAAATTAGAGGTCTCAGATTGTAAATTATTATTTCATTATAAATGCAGTCATTTTTTCCCAGAGAAGCAAACTTTTAAACTTAATACATTTTGTTTTATAAAGGTGCAATCTGTGTTTCATGTAAATCATTATAGTAGTTGCTTGAATATTTTATCGATGTGATCAAATTATATGTTGTTCTGGTTAGTGTTCTGTCTGTGTTAAAAACATTTCTTTTGTAGCTTTTATCTTCAAAGAAAGTATTTTCCTACTACAGTGCCCGCCCTGATTAAAATCGTGTACGTTTTAAGAAAATCCGATTTTACAAAATGGCTGATTTTATAAATTGGAATATCGACACTTTACCAACACTTTCGTAGTTAAAATTTCCAAGTGCACTAAAGATGAAATCGATTATTACATTCATATTTTATTTTCATTGAATTTACATTCCAGATTTTGATTAAACACTTGTCATTTAAAAGAAAAATTCACTGAAAGGCTTTAAATATTATATCTAAATATCTTATATATATTAATTATATCTTATATATATTAAATATAATATATTTGCTTGATTTGCGAATTTAAAGATTCAATATGGTTGGAAAATTTTTAAGAGTTTTTGTAACTTGCTGTTTTTTTTTTTTTTTTTTTTTTTTGTTTTNTGCTTTTTTTTTTTTTTTTTTTATCTTTGCTGTTAAGTTCATTTTAAAGTATAATGCACTTTTCAGATATCTATTGAAAGTAAAATTCTTTATACAATGATTTAATGACTTGACATTCAGTGATGATAGGAATTCCTATTCATAATTCCTAAATTCTGAATTCATAAATCGTTCTTTTTCACTGTTCACAATTTTATAACTTTCACCCTTCTTTTGCTAAGAAGTGTAAACCACTCCTGTAACTTTGTTCTTAGGGGCAAAATGTAATTTGTTAATTATATGCTTTACATCTTTCAAAATTTTAGAAAGTTCTAGCAATTCAGATTAGAAAAAGTTAGTTTTTTTACTCTAAAAATAATGCCCTATTAACAATTGATTTTACAAAACGACAATAATGATTTTATTTAAGGCGGGTTCTGGCATGTTTTGGTAATGTAATGATTTCTTTCTTGCAGATTTGATTTTAAAAGCTGCTGATTTTATTGTCCAGTGATTTTATTAGTGGCGGTCACTGTATCTTTATTTTGTTTCCTAAAAGGGCTTCCTGTTGTCTCAATATTGCTACTGTATTTATATAAACGATTTTTTTTATTTCTTTCCAGTTGTATTAAGCATTTTTTTCTTTAAAAAAAAAAGAGCTTATTTTAATCTAGTCACTTTATTTCTACTTAAATTGTATTTAGAATGTCAGCTATGTCATTAAAAAGTAAAAATTGGACACTCTTTTTTTAAATATAGGTATATAATATTTTTAATTTGGAATAATTTTGATTTCTCAATATTAAATGTTGGACACTGTTGTACATACTTGCTCAAGTTCATAATTTATAAAAATGCTGCTAAAATAATTGATGTTTTTAGTGATTTTTATTGTATAAATATTAGTTGAGAAAAGTACTATATTACTTTTTCAACATTTTTTGTAAGCAAGGAGCTACTTTCATGAAATTAAACTAATTGTAACTTTGTAATATTTTTATTCTCTATTGAAATATTTTTGTTTACTGTAGTAAATCAGTGAATAAATATTTTAGAACTCAATTACTTATCCACACATATGTAATTGTTATGCTACATTTTTTGCAGTGTAAAAAGAATGAAATATTATTTTTTCAAAATGTTCATAATTCTTTTTTTATTTAAATACTAATTTAATGCTGCACTACCGATAGCTAAAAAATTTTATTCTTTATTTACTAAATTTTAAAATACATTATTTAATTTAAACTACATTATTTTGGAATTGTTAATACTTGTGGTATCTTATTTAATGTTTAATTTATTTATCATTTCATTGAGCTTTGAAATTAATAATTAATTTTAAGTTTTTTAAATGTTTTATATTTATTTCAATTATTAAATTCATAATAATTTAACTTTTTTTTCCTTTTTTCCTTTAAATAATTTGTATCACTATTAAAATTTGTTGAATTTGCTTTCATTTTTTAAAAAAAGGAGTAATTTTTATTTGTCTTTATTACATAGTATAAATTTTAATTTAAAGAACTTTTGAATTGTATTGCTCAATTTACTAACAGTTATAACAATTATACTCTTATTAACAATGTAAATTGATAATCTTGTGAACAAATCATATTAAAATCTATGATTTTAATCATATTAAAATCTATGATTTAAAATCTATGAAGTGTTATTGTGTCATAATATTTCGAGAGAGAGGGAGGGAGGGTAGTAGCTGAGGTGTAGCGTTTCATACTCCCTTGCCACAGAAATGAGTTAGATCCTCGGGTTGATCATGGTTAACTCAGTCTTTCATCCCTTCAGTGGGTTGATAAAATGAGTACCAAGCATGCTTGGTGACTAAGCACTGGGGGTTCTGTGTTCGGATGACAACCCAATGGAAGCATTGTCCCCTGAACCCCAGAGTCCAAAATCAAGAAAATAGGGATGTGTATAGTAGGCCTTGGCTTTCCATTGGCTCTCAGGTCACTGAGTTTTAGTTTATATATATATATTATGTATTTAAATGAAACTAACATAATGCTGGAAATTTTAAATTCATTGTAACTGCTACAATATTTATTTTTTATGTTTATAAATTCATTTAAAATTTCCAGGACCAAAAAATTTTGTTCAAAACGTTTTAGTTAGAAAGTTGTGTTGTTGCAACTCCGTTTAATGTCAGTACATTTCTTTTAATAGATATATTTAATCAAAGGTCTGTGAATGTTTAGGTAAAAGGCTTAGCAATTTTATTATTTTCTTAAATATTGGCTTTTAAATAACTTCAGTCTGTGTTAAATTTGCTTAAATGTTTTACCTCAGGTAAAGTTTTTTAATTTTGGTTTTTTTTTGCAAAGTGATTTAAAAATTCTAAATTAGTTGAAAAAATATTTAACTATGCTGATCATAACCTCCCTTTGCTTTTTATGAAATTAAAAAATTTTAATTTCCTAAACTTGTATCTTATTTGATATTTTATAAAAAAGTATCTTATTTGATATATAATGATGTTCTTATGTATTTTTGCTAAATCTTATGTTATTGCAGCAAGGGAATCTATTTTTTTTAACTGTCATGGGTTGCAATCAAAAAGAAAGGAGTGGTCTAACTGATGTTAGATGCTAATGTTACATTTATTGATGATATGTATGTTTTGATTATAAAAAAGTAGTATAATGTCTTAAATTTAATTATTCAATCCCCCCCCCCCGTTCAGATATGTTTCTAACAATAAGTAAAACTTCCTTTCTTGTTCAGTTTTTAAAATAGCATATTTCATGAAACTTACAGACAAAACCTCTCTCTTTTTTTTTTTTAAGTATAATAATTAAGTGACATTTTTTCAAATTGTTTGGATGAATGATTTCAATAATTTTGCTTTATTTGTTTATTAATTTTTTAAAATTAGTCTTATGGTTCAAAACAAACTAATTTAGAAATAGAGAACATGTGTTGAATGTTATAATATATTTTTGTTCTTTTATATGCACAGTAACTTTTTTTTTGTAATGAGAAAAATATTCCCTTTTTTTTTGTCATAGAATTGTTATGTGTTTAGACTTAATGCAACATCAATGAAGTAACTGGAAATTTTGCTAGCTATTCATTAAATTAATATATACATGAAGAAATTTTTCTAAGTATATAAGAGTAAAGAAAGCAATCTAAATGCTGTGCTAAAACCTTTTTATAATTAAGTTTTTGTAAAGAAACTTTAATGAAATAGGTTTAAAATTACTTTCTAAAGTAGGGGAGTTTGCTCTAAACTACGTATTATTAAATATTGTTATAGTATATTGATTATTGGTCTAATTGTGTTAACAAATTCCCATTTTTTTCCATTTAAAGTTAAGATAAACTTTTAACAAATTAGATGTAAGTTAAAAATCTACGTGGATCATTCTCACGAAAACTGTCATTTTTAGTTCATAAAATCCCAAAAAAGTAAAGTGAATAAAAAGCTCTGAAACTTTTTATATTAATAGAAATATGTAATGGCATTATAAAGAAAGTATATATCCTATAAATTATACTTAATATTTAAATTAATTAATTTTTTAAATAATTAATTTATAATTAATTAATTTATAATAATTAATAATTAATTAATTAATTTAATAAATAAATTAATTAATTTAATAAATTAATTTATTAATTTTTTAATTTATTTTTCAAATTAATTAATAAGTAAATTAATTATTTTCACTATTTAAAAAGTGAGGGAATGACACTAATAGTGAGGGAATGATATTTTATTTTAATACATGTTTTTATCTAAGTTACATCTACCTAAAGTTTGAAAATGATAACATACTAAGTATATCTAATATTTATTATAATTTAGTCTTATATATTTAATAGTTTTTACAGGTTTGGGAAATAAAATTGGCTGGCACGATTGAACAAAAAAAAATTTGATAATATACTCATCTTGAATCATTCCCTCACTTCAGCGTCATTCCCTCACTTTATACACTAGTGAGGGAATGACGAATTCAATAAAATTTAAAAATAACAGTTAGGCCTAATTAATTTCTGAAGTCAATCACATACAATTATATTCATACAAGAAAGCAACATATAATTATCCACTTTCTCGATGAAGTTGTATTTTATTTTACTCTAAAAAATGACATGAGGGAATGACAAATGTAAAAAATTTTACCTGGTTTGATTCATTCAAATTTATTCCACAGCAAAGCTTCTTTAAGTTGAAGATGGAAACATACTGCAATTTTGTTCTATGATGCCAGTTGTTAACTTCTGAAGTTTTTATTAAAATATTTTTATTCTAAGAAGATTGCAGGTGATAAGAACATTGTTGTGAGGGAATGACGCGAAACACTGGGGACAAAGTTTAAAATAGTGCTGTGTTAATATTTTTATCAGAAATTAAATTTAAAATTGATTTTCTGAATTCTATATTTCAGTATTCTGAAATAAAAAACACGAATTTGTAAAAAAAAAATTTTTATTTCAG